GCTTTTCAAGAAGGACTGTGGGATAGTTTGCATTTTCCTACACAGAAATTGGAGGGTGAAAGTTGGGTGCTTCCACCTTTCTGTGGGGCTCTATCACCCTATCTGAATAATGGAAGGAGGCTTCAGACCAGGGCCTGTACTGACAGGGCAAGGGGCAGTGGTTTTAAACTAGAAGGGGATAGGTTTAGATTAGACATGAGTGAGAAATTCTTACTCATTTAAGTGGTGTGGCACTGGAACAGGTTGCCCAGAGCAGTGGTGGCTGCCCGCTCCCCGGCAGTGTTCAAGGCCAGGTTGGACAGGGCTTGGAGCAACCTGGTGTAGTGGAAGGTGTCCCTGCCCGTGGCAGTGGGGTTGGAACTAGATGATCTTTAAGGTCCTTTCCAACCTAAACCATTCTGTGGTTTTGTGAAATTCTCTGCCATGTGTTATACAGGAGAACGGGACTGATTGTGATAACAAAAGGTCCGGTTGTAATCTGCTAAAAACTGGTGAAGACAAATCTCGGGAAAAAATGACACAGTATTCAAAGACCATATATTGTACATCTGCCGAATGAACGGTGATCTTTGATCTTCATAGACTGTCATGCTTACTCATTTGTGTTTACTTCTAGTGTTTTCATTTTTGCTTGGGTGAGCAATTGCATCTCAAAGCTTCATTCATGCATATTGGTATTTTTTGGTCACCACTACATTAGCATTTTTGGATACACTCTGGCCATTTGGAGTTGGTGAGATGTCAGAGTTTAGATTCCCTCACTTATGACTGTAGGCATTTAACTGAGGTGCCTAAATTAAAGACTTGATTGCCCGAGGCTCACTCTGTGATCACAGGGGAAAGACGGGTATCCCCAGAGGGCAAGTCATTCCCTGTAGGTGTTACCTCAGAGGGGTTTCAGGTGAATGGGTGAGAAACATTGTCATTTAACGGTGTGCCTAGAGTTTTGTTGTATGAATGCAGGCCTGGTTATTTTATCCCTGTATTGAAATACCTGCTGGAAAATTGCCAGGAGGAAGCAGAAATCTTTGCTAAAATGTCAGTTAATATGTAAGACTATTTAGTAACTTTAAATGGTGTTAGCCCCTACAAAGATACTGATAAGTGTCTTTCCTTTGGATAGCAGAGGAGGCTAATGTACCAGCTGCTATAATTAAAACGAGTGCTGGTAAGGAACTGCATTTTCTAGCTTTCAGCATAAATCTGTTGCTGTGGAAAACCTTGATCGGCATAGCTCAGTACCTCTGTTTATACAAGGCAGGTGCAAGTTACAAATGATAGCATTTCTCATGGAGAAGTAGCACAGTCTTTTAAAATCCTGCCTATAATGCCTATGTTAGTCAATGACACACACACACTACAAAAACATGCAGTTTTCAAGATGTTATTTTTCTAAAATTTGTTGTACCATTTAAAAAAAATTAAATAGACTAAATACATTTCAGTAATTAAAATTTACCTTGGATTTTCCCATTTTAGATCTCAGGGATCTGTTGTTCTGGGTGATTTTTTTTTTTTTCCTTCATTTGCCTTAATGAGCTATTGCACTCCCAGGCTTTAAAACTGCCAGAATTTGGGAAAGCAAGTAAGCAAAAGTTAGATGCATATAAATGATCTTTGAGAATTACCAAGTTTCCTGGTATTGCAGGGTGTGTAATTGGATGTGAAATTAGCAATACCCATAGTTAAACACTGCCTTGTACTTCTCAAGAAGAATCCTGAGGTTTTGTGTTACTCTGCTGTGCTTAGACAATTTGCCATTTGTCAACTCAAAGCTGATTGTTTCTGATCCATTCAGCCATTTTTAAGAATGAGGTTTGAGCATAGTGCTGTGTTCAGGCAAATGAAGACTTGGCTTTTGCTCATGGATTCTTCCCTTCCAGCTTGTGAGTGGGAGTAGCTGTCTTCCTGCACAGTACACTTTGCCAGTGAGGCCCTCTGCACAAACTTGTATTTATTCTGCCACTGGGCAAGCACGATGCCTTCAGATTGGTGCTGGCTTTTGCCTGGTAGTTGGGAGCTGAGGCAAGGCAATAGTGTGTTTGGCTGCAAAAGGCCGTGCAGATGCTAATATTTACAACTGGTAAGTCCAGTAGCAGATTTGATGTGGATATTTAAAAATCCTATGTTGGGGGGAGTCAAATACAGGGCTGAAGTCAGTGTGTAGGCACAGTTTCTATTTGTGCAGACGTTAGAGGGGTTTCTGTAGCACTCTGGTTAAGAAGGCTCATGTTCTTCATTTGTCCTCTTTGTCAGTATGTGTTGCAATACGTAAATTGGATGATCTATTCGCATGGATCCCTACAGCACCGAGTGCTCAGGATTGATCTGATTTGTGGGTGGGAAGCAGTAAGACCCTCACCTCTGTGGTCACGCCAGCCAGAAGGCACACAGGCAGGGACTGGGAGAATGGAAGGAAGAGAAAGGCAGCTGAAGGCTGTCTGGGGCAATGGTGTTTATCCCAACCCGTGTCACAGAGTTGATAGAGGGATCCCAGCAAACAGAGCAGGGGTTGCTGCCAGCACCCTAATGGTTCATTGCTCTTGCAGAGGAGGAAAGGAGAGCTCCTAGGAGCTGAGCTTTCAGCTGTCTGGGATGTGATTGCAGAGGTAAACTGCAGTGTGTCTGGGTCAAAATTACTACTTTGAAGAAGGTAGTAAAATATTCGTGACTGGTGTTGAAGTTTATTGAAAAGTTGAGTTGAAGCTTACCTTTTCTTGCCAGGAAAGTGTTTCTTGTGTAAACTTGTTTGTATTCTGCTGCCAATAGCTTTTTATGGCCCATGGACTTTGCTTCCATTATAAATCTTTAACCTCTCTTACTGAGCTATTCTATATGCTAAGTTACTCACGTCTGGCTAAATTTTTACACTAAAATCTGCAGGAAAGCTTTCTTAACAATCAGGACATTTACAACGAGTGACATTTGTAAAAGTGAATTACAGTAACTAACCACATCCTTTCAAACTATCATTTCTGAAATTAGTTACCTTTGTGTTGATCTGAGTAAGAGATCTTCTGGTGTTGCAGTTGCATGCAAATGCAAGAGTAGACCCTCTTTTTGCTTCAAAGTATGGCAAACAGGTAGGTTTGTTACTGGTCATTGATGTGACAGTTAGCTCTGGGCACCTAAAGGCTGTTCAGTGGCTCATTCTTTCACCAGCTTGTATCATCAGGCCATACCCATGTTACTTACCTTGCAGAACAAGGTGGCCACAAGGAGATTGAGTGCTGGGAATGATCCTTGTGCCAAATTCAGAAACCAACTTCCACCTTGCTATAATCCAGGTGGTTTGTTTACTGTATCTTGCTACTACTACTAAAACAAGTTGTTTGCCTTTGAATAATAAGCATGCTTGAGCCTTTGACTTTTCAGTTAACTTGCTGATGTGTCTTGTGACCCTTCAGGGTGTTTGGACTGGATATCCAAGGCAGGGACTGTGGTGATGAAGTGGCTCAGTGGATCACCACTTTCCTGAATTCAGAGCGATATCGACTGGTGCACTTTGAACCCTCCATGGTGCCAAGAAAGTCAAAGGACGTAATAAACCTTTTCAGAACCACAGATGAGGTAAATGAATGTTCTTTTTCTTACAAGTACTTTCTTTTAACCATTTCCCACCCACCTACTGAAACCTGCCCATTCTGTCATTGGTGCCTGAGCCCAGTTTAGCGAGGTGTGTAGTCATATACTTAAACCACACGAATACCATTTCTGTGATGAGATGCCTTGCCTAAATTTTACTTAAAATCTGTTCTAAGCTATTGACCATTCATGGCTAAAAAGTCTGATGCTGATATCTGAAGGGGAACTATTATATTGTAGAATAGCATTCCTTTTGTGCCTCGGTGAATAGAAAAAAGGTACATTTTTAAAGATGGTTGATGGTGTAATGTGTTGCATAGAAAACCTCTGTTCTCTATCCATTGTTAGGTCTAGAAGTGTATCAGTATGAGTTGTGTTAACTTGTGTTTTGTTTAAAGGAATGATGCTTAACCCAGGGCTCTAATTTGCGGGCCTAGGAATTAAAATCCAAAGGAGGTTACAGAGGTTTCATCTCTCTTTCTGTGGGAAAAGGCTTGAAGGTATGATATTACAGAAAGTTGATGCAGGTAGGGAAAGGAGATGCTTTGCTCGGGCATCCTGATGCCCTTCTTTTGTCTGAACAAGTCTCTCACATGGAAACGGTTTGAGCCGTACCTGATGAGTGTAAGCTTTTTAAGCATATACAAATTGTGAGTACCTTGCCTTACGGATGTGATCTCATTATCTGTAAGGCATCAATGTTTTGCTTGTTGTTGCACAAAGAGAAATATTCAATTGTGGACTTTTATACATACGCATTTATTATGTAAGGGCACTGAGACCAATACAGAAGACTAATGGTTTCAGCAAAAGGGATGTCAGACTAGGAGGGTGACACTCAGGAATCCTGGCATGAAAAGAGGGTAAAATTGTTTGTATAGTTATTTCAGTGCTCATTTTCTTGTGGTTGTAAAGGCACGTATGAGGAGGAGGAGGGAAAGGATAATATAAGAGAAAGATGAGAGTTATATGCTAAAATTCTTGCCAGTTTTTGTGTTGTGTTTTTTTTGTTTGTTTGGTTTTGGTTTTTTTTGTTTTTTTTCTGTGGATCTAGTGTATATAGGAGTTTTCTTTTAATACTGTTCATTGGCCTTGTTTGCCAGAATGGCAGCCCTCCCACTTCCAAGCAAACTTAGACGGAAAAATGGACAGTTGCACTTTAGTGTTGCTGCTCCGTATGTGAAACTCCCTCTGGTGTTGTGATAAGATAGACTCATATGTAGAAAAATCCAGTTAGTTGGTTATAGTCAACCAGGTAAGTTCAGCAGGTCCATAAAAGTTTTAAGTGCCTTTTATAACTTACCATAACGTGTTTTACTGTTATACTTAGTTCCATCTGTTACACCCAGAATAAATGTCTGGGACACGCATACAGTATTATCTTGTAAGAAGTTGTGGTAGCTTATATAATTCTGGTTTAATTCTATAAATAGTAGTTTAATTTTACAATTTGAGCATATGAAACTTGCTGTGGTTATTGAAATAGGAAAGGGCGTGTAATTTTACTTGTGAATTTACTTCCAGGAAAATTAAAACCTGAATGCAGCAGCCTAACAGTCAGGCTAATATGTGGCCACTGGTTCCAACATACCTGTCCTTTTACCATTCAGTAACTTTGCTCCTGTGCTCTTGTATCAGCTTTAGGATTTGTTTGTGTTTATTTATGCAGGTTGCCTATCCTGACTGTAGCCCAGTCTTGATCCTCTCGGAAGCTTCACTGGAAGACCTAAATACCAGGCTGGAGAAGAAAGTTAAGATACAGAACTTCAGGCCAAATATTCTTGTGGCAGATTGCAGTGCTTTTGAGGAGGTAAGTTAACTGTCTTAAATGTATTTTTGAAAGCTTGGTTATGTTTTTTTGTAACTCGGTTTCCTGGTGTGATGATGCCTACAAGGATGAGGAAAGCTGCTATTCTGTGATTTTTTACAACAGGATTCCAGAGATACACAGCTTCTGCTCACGTCAGTGCATGTGAAACATTGAGGGAGGAGACAGGTCTGTGAATGCTTATTTAGCTTGGCAGAGGATAAAGTAAGTGTATTGAAATGGCAGGCTGTTACTGAAAGCTCATCTTTCCATGTAGAGTAGGGAAAGCTCTGCATGCTATAATTGATAATGATAAAAACAAACAATTTGTAAACAGAGTGGTTTTTTATAGCCTTTGGCACAAGAGTGAAACTGACACGCGGAATAGTGCAGTCTGTCACTGCATCTCTGACAATATTCTGGTAGTTCAAAAAAGCACTATCTAGGAAGGTATCTGGTGATGAAGTGAGCTGGTGATGGTGGCTTTTTAAGTGTTTTTACATCATGTTGCCATTTTTCCAAAGAATTTGTTTTGGATAGATCTGATAATTTCTGAAATATAAAAAATTCCTAAAATTGGAGTGGTTTTTTGTTTTCCAGAGGTCACAGATCAGATTATCGCACATAGTAAGAATAAGCTTGCTTTAGGTTCATACAAGTGCATGCTGCAGAACAGGGTTTATTACTCGTGTTATCTTTCTTTCCAGATATAATTACTAGTGGGTCCTGAATTGGACAAATGTAAGTGACCGTAGGGTTTTCATTAAAATAGTACCATAATATAGCAGTGTTTATTTTGAAGGTACAAGAAGAGGTCATGATTTGGAATGGTAGTGCTTCTTCTAGGAATAACTGTGCCACCTCTGGAAAAATGGTTGCATGTGGATATGTCTAATCTGTGCATGATATTTACCTTCCCTCAGGACACCTGGGAGGAGATTCTTATTGGCGATGTGGAGATGAAAGGGACAGTGTGTTGTGCCAGGTAAACATTTGAGTCCATTATTGTATATAGATGTATAGAGATTTATGATAGAAAGCCGTTATTGATTTGGTGCTGTCTGTCATTGCAGGTGTATTTTAACAACTGTTAACCCAGACACTGGGGTCCTGGACAGGAAGGAGCCTCTGGAAACATTGAAGAGGTTGTAAAAATACCAGTGCTGCTTAGGCTGTGGGAGTGGATTTAGGCTAGATCCCAACAGATGTTAGACTAGTGTTTTAAAAGTGGTCTGAAGTATGTGTGGGACATAATAATGCAGTGTAAAGGTCTGTGTATATTGGCTTCCATTCTGCTTTCTGCAATTCTGTATGGTAAGAAAATTCAGGAAGTTCTCTCTTCTTTCTTGCAAATTTTACATTCCCTGTCTCTTTCATCTCTGCTAGGGTGAATGCCTGGGGCAACAGGTATTTAAGGTATTTAAAGGTCTGACTTTGCAACTTTGGCATTTCTTTTTATAAAGTCTTTTGTATATGTATTATACATGGATGTGTGAATACAATCAGGCTATTCTCTCCATTTGAACTGCTTCTTTCTCTTAATTATATGTATTTAGTTTTTAGTTTAGTATGGTGACCAAAGCAGGGCATCAGTATTCATGTCCTCTTGCTCATCACTGATATTTTGATGTTTAGAATTTGCTACCACCAATTCTAAAGAAGTGCTCTCTTTCTGCAGTTACCGCTTGTGTGATCCATCTGAGCGACACATATACAAATCCAGCCCTCTCTTTGGAAGATACTTTGCTGTTGACAAAACTGGAACAATTCAAGTTGGAGACCCTGTATACAAGATGGTCCAGTTGTGATCAGAAGATGCCTTTTCACTTTGATACGCAAATTGTTTTCCTGTGAACATGGTCACCAGCATAACCTTTTCTTATTCTTTGCAATGTTTTTTGTGCTATGTTCCTTTGTAAGATGCAGGGAGGTCTTTGAGGCTATGAAGTGCCAATTGTTTCAGATCATGTAATCTACTAGCATGCCTGGAGCAACCAGGCCTTTAGTTTTTCTGGAGGCTGTGATAGAAGAAACTCTAATCCAAGACAGACTTCACAGCACGACTCTGAGTATCACACCTCCTAAAATTTTATGTCAAGCTCGATATCAGAATCCAAAATCATGTAGAAGAGCTTTGCATCATGTATTAGATAAGTTCAGTGCCTATGAAGAACCACAAAAAACAGTTATGCCAAGAGTAAAGTAGGTATGTTGGTCATGGAGCTGCCTTTACAAGTGAACATGGAGTGCAGATGGCAAGGTTCTGTCCTAGATTCCACCTTTCTTGGGTCCTAATCATCATACCCTATCTATGTCTGGAGGTACCTTTTTGCAGTGTTTCTCATTCTGCAATCTTTTCCTGAAGTTTGCTACTGTTTTTTGAGATTGGAGAAATATCAGAAAGAGAAGGATTGTGAGCTGAGTGACTACTAGAGTGTTTACTAGAGTAAATCCTACCCTAGTTTAGGGATGGGAATGCTGGCTAACGATGTGTAAGACTCTGGGTTTGTTTAGTTTATAACCTCCTCTTGATAGTTTGAACCATCGAATTTTTCTCCTCTGAAGCATACCATAACACTGAGGCTGTGGAGTAGTGATGCATTTGTTAACGTATCAGCAGAGCTTCCGATTTGACTAAAAGAATTAGGTGTTCACTGGATCAGAGTCTCTGTGCACATTGGAGGGGAAGAAGAGCTGTTGGGAGTGATCTGATTCTGAGTCTGCTCCCTTCAAGCTGATGTCCAGGCCAATATTGTAGGGCTCTGTGTTCACACGTAGTTCCTCTCTGGCTCGGTGAATCTCTTGCTATAGAAAGTTAGGCTGCTGAGCAGACGTTTGGGAAGCTGCGGTTTCAGACTGAGCATGTTGATGTCCTTATTGGTTATGCATTTAGATCTTTGGTTGCCCCCCTCCCCTGCCCCTATTCTAACCAAAACATCTGCCATCTGTAGGAAGCTGATAATTATATTTTCTGCTATATTTTGTACTTCATAAAACAGATAGGGGAGGAAACTAATTGGATTATGGCAGTAGTATTTTTTCTTTAAATGCTATATGACTATTTTTAATTAAAAGTGGAGTCCAAGACAAAAGCCAGCCATCTTTCAAATGCTTATCTGCATGTTGCTTTGTTATGGATTACTAGATCTTGAAAGAGCGTTGAACTAGCCAAAAAAAAGGAATCTAATTAAGTGTGAAGAAGAACAAATATGACCCAATTGGTGTTTAAATTCTTTGTTTTCTGTTGTGAACATGAAACTGGATTTTTCTGCATGTTCACAACTCAGACGTGTAAAATGAAGAGCTGTTGTGCCTTTGAGTACATTCAGAGGGATGTACATGGCAAGCCTGAAGCAGGCATATGGGGAAGGTAGTTTTCTATTATTTGTGAACTCGGAATTGTTCCGAATATCCTTTCATTAGCAGAGTGCTCTGTAAGTATTAAGTTTTCCTGTGACAGACAAGTGCCCAGTTTGGACTGCATGTTGCATATTTGAGTATTGTTATGTCTAGTGCGAGGAAATGAGAGAAAAAGCATCTTTGGAAAAGGAAAATAATGCTGAAGATTCACTTTTTAAAAGCATATGTTGAAGATCCTTAATATTACAGGCTGAAACCTTGTGGAATTCCTAATGGTATTATTAAGCAGACAGCCTGCTGGCCTGCCAAAGCAATTAGTTAAGTGTGTGTCTCTTCATTAAGTCAAAGAAGTGGAAGGAAAGAGCTGAATTTTTGCTGCTAGCGAAACATATTTTTTCACTGTTGTTTTAGCACCACACTGGGATTTACATAACACAAATTGTGTGGTATACATCTTGTTTCCTCTTATTAGGCTATCGTCAATTGGGATAATTTGGAAATGGGGCTGTCTTTCCAGTGAGAAACTGCATCTGTATTCCTGTTAAGAAAATCTAGATCCATAGATCTAAAACCCTGATTTATCTCTGTAAAAGCCCCTTAGGAGAATTTGGCTAGAATCCTAAAATAGGTATGTGTCCGAGTAGAACACATTTCACAGATGATACTTAAATCAATTATGTGATGAAAGGGCCATTCTGGGAAGTGGAGAGTAACTTAAGAACATTACAATATAAATATCTTCATGTAAGTGTTGAACTGCTGTAACTGTAGGAATTGTATTTGATTTTGCTAAAGCCATTTAAGAAAATGATTGAAAACATGTCCATATTAAAACACTGATTTATAAAATTGTGTTCTTAAAAATGTTAATTGCTTTTTTAGCTCTAGAGGAAGAAAACAAAAATATAAACTTCTATTGAATCCAAACTCTCATAAGGTGTAAAATTTGTGCATCTTCTTTCTTTGTTTTCTGTTTTGGCATTTAACATCTGCTACTGTTTCCAGGACCTCACATATAATTAATAGTGAAGGGGGGTTTTTTTGAATCTTGCCACTAAGTTCAGGAAAATATATAGTTAACCAGAGGAAACTGTATGTGTAAGAGAGCAGAACCGTCAGATGTAAGTGGTCTTCACACTTGACTTTTACAGCCCTTATGGTCTAGATGATGAAAATGATGTTTAGACACTATCTTCTTTTTTCCACAGGCATATGAAAATAGGGCAAAATGGGTTTGAAAGTACAGAAGTTTAGTACACAAGTCAATGCAAGGTCATGTTTCCTATTTCAGGTCTCTAAGGATAGCGAAAACTATTTTTTACAGTGCTTACTACACCAGCATAATTGTTGCAGAAAACTGTGAGAGGAGGACAGTCCTTTCAGGCAGAAATTTTCGTGTTTGTTTTAAGATTTGAGGTGGGTACATCATCAGCCAAGTCTGCACACACACCCCTCCAGCCCCCCACCCCCAAAAAAAGGAGAAATGGTCTGTTTTTCTGCATCTTAAGGAGAAGAAAAGCCTTCCAAAGGTATTGCTCCACTTCTGTGTAAGAAGAAGATTCCTGGCCCTTGTCACTACAAATGGCAAAGGTTTCAAAAGGGGCTGCCCCAAGGTGTTAATTTCTGGTCTCTTCTAGAACCTTAAATTGCTTTATTCTCATTTGAGATCCGTTAGAAATTCCCTGGAGGACTACACCTGCAATGTCTTTGTTTCTTTGGAACAGAAGGTTCTTAAAAAATAAGGCAGGCATCAAAACCCCATGTCTTTCAGTCTTCAGCTCAAAGAGAAGCAGCATATGTACCTCTTAAAAGGTTCCTATTTTTACATATTCTGTGTAGCTGTTGTGTTAGTGTTAACAATCTCTACTTAGAATGTCACTGTTACTAGTAATTGCATTTTGCCTGGAGAAATTGGTGAAGTCAGTAAGGGTTTCAGACACTAGGCATCTTCTGAAATAAATCTGCTTACTGAGCATGACAATTTTTGGATTCTGGAGCCAGAATCTTCCCTTGTATTGACTTTCCTGGTGTGGGACGAGGGTTTTTTACTTCTTAATGTACTTCTGATTTTCTTCACTTTTATCTATTGGTGTTCCTTTTCACGTACCTTGAAACATTGCCATACCTGCTTGCTGGCAGAGCTGCTTCCTGGGCGGTGCATGAAGAAGATACAGACAGCAGAGAGGGGGATGCTGGATGCTGCTGTGCGACTGCATTGTGTTGTGTGGGAGCACACAGTACTGGTCAGTGCTGGTGAAGCAGGGGTTAATACCTCTTGGCTCCTCAGCTGGTAAATGTGTGTTTGGGAGTGTTTGAACTAGGATGTGGGCAGGCAAGCGTAGCAGTGAAGCTCAGACTGAACTTGTGAAGGTGAGTATCATCTGCTGGGGCTGAGACTGGCATAAAGCCATGAGGCAAAGAGAGCTGAGGAGGCGCCTTTCTGAAGGGAAGGGTGGTGTCTGTGGCAAGTGGCAGTTTGCTTGGTCAGAGAGACCAGGGAACAGGAATGATTGGAAGGGGAAGGGAGGTGAGCAAGGCTCGTGTGTGTAGAGGGTGTCAGGGCTGGAGTTGCAAGAGATGGGGCTGTGAATCAAGGCAGGAACTTGGTGGTAGCACGTTCTCAATGCATTTTTGTGGAGATGGACTGAGAATGAGCCTTAGTTGTAAGGTAGTGTCAACTTCCAATATTTGTCACTGCTGCTTGTAGCCTGGCCTGAGGAATGCCACACTCCCCAGTGAGAAACAGCTCATCACATTGACTTCAGGAAATCAGAACACAAGTAATTGTAGCCTGAGCTAAACAGCAGGCAGAGACTGTCTTCTACCTGTGCAGGCCATAGACAGAGAGAAAGGATGTGGTACATTGTTGTAAAGAGTTTGGGTGGGAACCTCTCACTTTTCTGACCCTATGTAAAGCTAAAGCATCTCCCCTTTGCTCCTGGACCGTTATGCACCAGGCACCTAGCTGACTGAAATTTTCTTTCCTCCGGGATTGGTATTGTAGAGAATTATATTCCTCTAGTGCACAGAATTGCTCTGACAGCTTACCAGTGCTTGTTTACCAGCTGACTGTTCTCGCTTTCTGTAGGGGCTAGATAATAAGCACAGTGAAACAATTATGCTTCACTGATGCACTAACCCTCGTTCCCTCTTTGCTGTTGAACTCCAAAAACCAGATGCGTTCACAGTTAATTGAGGTTTGTCTTCCAGAGATTTTGAAGGATGATTATTCTTTGGTTGTAGCAGATACAATTATAGGCACCGATTCATGGACAGTTATTTTCAATAGACCTACTTTGGCATAAGTAAAAGATGATGGCTAAATCTTTTAACCTCATTTTATCAAGATTTCACTTGTAGAGTGTAGGACTGAAAGAAACCAGCTGGGTCACAGAGTGCAGTCTTCTCTAACTGCAGAAAACAAAGCAATAGACATTAAATTCAGACTTGGAGAATACGTGCTTCATCTGTCTTCACATACCATGGCCACAGGGCGCTTTCTGTTAGATTTTTAGTAAAAGATCAAAAGTCATGGTGATAGTTGGACTAAAAGAAGATCATGGGAGAGATCAAGAGTCTGAAATGTCCTTGATCCTTTCAAAGGTAAAGACAGCTCCTCAAAATATAAATCTTCCACTGTGTTTACAGTTGTGTGGTTTGGTGGTCAATATTAAGTCTCCATTCTTTGGGTTTATGTAAGGTAGAGCAGACCTCTTTCCAATTAGCTCAAGAAACAGGTGACATGAAGTTTTTTTTCCCTCAGCTCTCCTTTGTTCCTTCATTTCTGTTTAATAGACCTAAAGCTGTCTCATAATGGTTTACTGCATCCCAAGCTGCATGGCCTTTAGCAGAACTAACTCTTCTTCCAGCTCATATTCACATGTTCAGAAATGTGAGTCACAAAGATCCTAATTGGAGGTGTGAGGGTTAGTATGTAATTAATCCTGGAAGGGCACCAGGAAGCCAAATAGATCCATCAATCTAAACTTGTAGAAAGTCTGAAAAAATGCCTGACCTTTTCCAATTTCCATGAAAAGTGTCTGCTCAGCCGTGGAAGCGGTTATAGGGAAAGGCTGAGTGCAGTGCAAAGGCACACAACTTGAGTTCAACAACTGATTCAAAAAAGATAAGACCCTTGTGCACTGTGTCTGATGGAGCAGAAGGTCTATGCTGAACCTCACTTGTATGCAACCCTACGTGTAACTGCTCTCTAACTGAGCAAACTACCATGTTGTGTGACCAAAACACCTGTGTAAGCAATCGGCTGGGATCCCCCTCATTGCAGGACTCTTAATCTGCTAAGTAGAGTGGGTGGTTGACTGTGCCCTTCGGCAGGACCTATTCTGGCAGCAGCCGTGCTCCAGGAAGCCACTGAGACTTAACCCCTGGGAGGATGCTGAGAGCAGATACAATTTGAGCAGCATGCCAGGACTTCTGTGGTGCTGCTGAGAACCTGGCTCAGTTTATCTTCTGGACTCAGCTTGGCCTTGTGGAGTTTTATCTTTGAGAGCAGTGGCGGCAGTGTTGCAGTGTTGTGCATCCACGCAACATATGTACTTATTTTAAGACGGCCAACAGGAGCAAAGTTCATCTGATTTCTTTAGTTTGAACATGCAGCTGGACCCGAGGGAAGGCAGGCAGCACAGCAGACAAGGGAAAGCTACTAGAGTAAATAGATTAGTGTGCTTTTTCCCTTCTTATTCTGTTGCACTTACAAACTGTAGAGAAACTGCAAACGTGAATGGCATGGCTAAGTATTTTCCTTGCATGGGGAACAGAAGAGGTTAGCTCCTGCACAGAGAGGTTAGAGGCAGCATTGTGTCTGAAGCACTGTGCTTCCAAAGCCTGCTTGCCACTCTGGTGCTGCTGGCAATACTCTGGAGCCTCAGTATCCATGGCCCTGGCTGAGAGCCTTGAAGCACAAATGCCATGGGAGCTGTAGGCAGAGTGTGTGCAAGGCAGGCCCCAGCTGGGGCTTCCTTGGACACTTTGAGTATGGGAGGAGGCTGACCTCCAGCTATACTCCAGACTTGAAAAGGGGCAGCATCATACACCCCTCTTCCCATGGTATCTCATTTCCACACAAAGCCATAATTACTTAGCTCAACTATGTAATTCACTGCCATTAAAGCTTTATTTGCTTTTCAGGATGTCAGCAGAAAATTATCACATCTTTATTTGC